AGATTGCTCGCTCGTAGTTTCTTCCCCAGCGGCGTTCAAAGCTTGTGTAGCCGTCTGAGTGAATGACGTAGCGATTTACCGTCCATGCTGCATGTCGTACTATCCAAGGTAGTAGACAGTGCTTTGTGGACATCGTCATGCTGTAGTTGCTTTCAACTTGAGCTTTGACGACGCGGATTTGTCCGAGAAGTGTTCTATGTAGTCGCTCAACGCTTCCTTGACTGTTGCTGCTGTAGGAAGGTGAATGTCGTACACTCATTGTGCCGACTTTTGCTGCTGTAGCTTTTAGAAGTGCGTTGAGTGTGTCTTCGTTGTCGCTTTGTAGTATGCCTTGTGTTCTTCCGCACTCAAAGATGAATGCTTGTAGGTTGTTGACCATGTAGTCCATCATTGATGCTTTGTCTGGAACCAATACTGCCATACACAGTTGTGTAGTAACATCAACTGCTGTCAGTACTGGTGTGGTCTTTGGGTCTTGTTGTGACTTGATGTAGGCAAAGTCTACTTGAATGACAGGTTGTCGTGATTGTTGTTTCTTGTAGTTGTCTTGGCGTCCTTTGCCTTGAACGCAAATTGGACACCAGTTTCTGTATGGTAGATGTGTAAGGTTGTGTTCTGCTATTTGTTGTGGAGTGGGCTGCTGTGGTTGTCGTAGTCCTCTTGCTCTGTGTGCTTCATGATGCTCGTGTTGTTGTTCTTCATCGTGGTTCTCCTGGATGTACTCGTAGTCTTTCTTCACGGTGAACCTTGTTGTTCCTTTCCATTGAAATGGTAGTGCTGCGTTGCCCATGACTGTCCAGTCATCTTTGCGTTGTGAAACTTCTCCAAAGTTGTTGTGAGTGATTGTAGTTCTGTAAGGTTCAAGTGTGTTGATTGGTGGATGTCCTGGTCCATCTGTTGGAGTGAAGAGAGTTGTTCTAAGCGTTGTGTGGTGTCGTATCCAGTGTTCACCTTGTCTTTCCCAGTAGTCTTGGTTGTCCTCCTGTGCTGTGAGTGGTCTGTGTATTGTCTCCTTTGGTTGTGTGGTGTCAAGATTTGTTGAAGGTGCTGCTTTGGGTCTCCATATCTTTTGTGGTGCTCGTAGTTGGATCTTTGATCTGGTTGGTGGTGTGTCCATTAGCCGTTGTGGTTGTGAGCTCTGCCTTGTTGGTGTGGTCTTTGATGTTGCTCTGCGTGTAGGTGTTATCTTTCTTCTGAATCTGGTTTCTCCAGTCCAGTTGTCACCTTCTAGTCTTCGTTGTAGTTCTTGCTTGGAAAGTTGTGTTGGGTTCTCTTGTAGTTGTTCTTGCTCTTGCCCTTGTCTGTTGATGATGGTTAGTCTCCAATCATCTAGTTCTTCTTCAGGTATTGGGCAGCCACTGTTGTGTGGTGTGAACAGTGCTTTGCGTGGCCGTTTGTGTACTCTGATGGCGTAGTCACCATCAAGTTTCCAGTAGTCAGTGTTTCCACCAAGGATCTGTCGTAGTCCTTGGTCTGTGTGTGTGAGTGGTGCGATTTGTTCTTGTTGTTGTGCTGCTCTCTCTGTAGGTTGAATCACAGCAATGGATTTTCCATTGTCTGTAGTCGTTGGATAGATGTCGAATCCTGTAGGAATGTCGATCTTCTCTGCTCGTAGGTAGAAAAGTCCTGAGTGTCTTATGAGGTGTGCTTGTTGTTGTCCATGTGTGATGGTGCAGTGTCGTGGAGTGAAGTCAAGTCCATATCCTCTATCAAGTAGTCTTGATGCGCTGAGGATTGGATACTTCACATCACAAACGTAGTAGGGTATCATGATCCTGAAGTTGTCCTGCTTGTAGGGAACGTACTTGATGCCGTAGACTGGAATCTTCTTGTTGGTCACCGTGTAGAGTTGTGGAACTGGTTCTCCACAGGGTCGTAGTGGAAGATCCGGTGCGTAGTCCTTTGGGCAAACATGTGTAGATGCTCCTGAGTCGATCAACAGGTGGTGGTATGACTTGAAGTTGGAGTACATGATGTAGTGATAGTGTCCTCAAGCTTCTTGTTCCTTTGTTGTTGTCTTGCTGCTGCTATGTCGAAGTGTAGCTTTGTGGTGTCTTCTTGTAGGAATTGTTGAAAGCTCTTGCTGTGGTCGTTCCATGATGTTGTTTGTGTTGTTCTCTTGCCAAGTAGTGATTTGGATTTGTGCTTGTGTAGTCGTGATTTTGCTTGTCTGATGTGTCCAATGGTGAGGTGTGACGCGTTGATGCCTCCAATGTAGTTCGCTGTGTCCTCATAGCTGTTGTCATTCCAATCCCAGCTGTTGTCATAGTCGTAGTCGTTCCAGTTCTCCTCCATGTAGTTCACCTCGTGTTGTCCTTCTTCTCCTTCGTAGTACCAGTCCCAAGTGTCGTTCACATCCTGAGGTAGTTCATCATTGTTGTCGTGATCTGCTTGTTCTTGTTCTAGTGGATGTAGTTCTTCTCCTTCTCCTATGTGCCATACCGGCACTCTGCAGTCTTGTGCCCAGTGGCCGGGCTTGCCACATCGATGGCATGTTGTGTAGTTGTTGCTTCCTTTTCCTTTTGATTTGCTGTAGTTTCCTTGGCCTTTGTAGCCTTTGCTTGATCCATATCCTTTGGATCCTGAGTAGCCTTTTCCTTTGCTCTTGTTGTATCCTCCTTTGTTGTAGTTTCCTTTGCTGCCTTTGTCGAATCCTTTGTAGTGTCCTTTACTCCTGTACTTGCCTTTGCTCTTGCTTCCTTTGTAGCCGCCTTTTCCTTTTCCTTTGCCTTTGTAGCTTCTTCCTTTCCTCCATATGTTGTCAACATCCATTGGTGCAGTTCCTCCATTGTAGTTTGTTCCTACTGCTGAAGTAGATCTAGTGAAGGCTGAAATCGTTTTGTAGTAGTCCAGGATGAGTGCTCTGATCTCGATGTAGTTCGTGATCTGTCCAGCTCGCAGTTGGAGGTGTTGCTGCAGTGCTCCTTTGGTTTTGTTGAGTAGTATTGCTATTTTGATTCCATCTGGTAGTGCTGTTCCATTGTCTTTCTCGTAGCGGTTGATGTCGTATTCCCATTGTAGAAATTGTTCTTCAAACTGCGCTTCGTTGAATGTGGGTTCCAGTAGTTTGGTAAGGTAACCAACGCTCCTTGTTCCTACTGGTAGGCTGAACCTGTTGTGTAGTAGTCGTAGTGTTTCACATCCGTTTGCGTTGTAGCGGTTTTGCCTTACTACTGTAGCTGCTGCTCCCTGACAGATGTTGATGAGGATGTAGTGTAGATCTCTGGAGAGGTCTACTGCTTTGCTTGCTTGTGTAGGGTCGAGTATGTGTGTTCTGATGTCTGTGTCCTCAATCTGTCGTGTAGCCACTTGTGCTAGTTGTAGCACCAGGTCGAAGTCTCGGTCTATGAGGCCGAGGTATGCTTGTAGCTTGAACAGCCATTCTTCATACTGGGAGTAGTCACCAGTGAAGAAGGGTGGTGGCAGTTTGTATCTATGTAGTCTCTGAACGTCGTTGTCTTGTTCTGTTCCTGCTCCCGTAGTCGTGGCTCCTACTGTGTCTGCTGTTGGCCCGTTCTCTGCTCCTGTAGTTTGTTGTGCTGAGGCTGATGCTGCTTCTCCTGACATGTCGTAGTAGTTTGGCATGTAGCTGCTGTTGCTCTGTTGTTGTAGTACTTACTGCTTACTGGAGCTCCCCTATGTTTAGGATCTCAGCTCCGCTACCACGTTAAAATCGGTTGTTACTTTGCTTACAAGTGCAAGTGCTGTAGTGTTCAAACAAACAGTCAACCAATGTAGTCTGCAGCTGCCAACCTTTTGACTCATGCGGAGTAGTAAGCTCAAGGCCTGCGGTAGTGAAACATACATGCAACAAGGGTGCAAAGTGAAGCATGTAGTTTGACATGTGTGAGAGAGAGAGAGAGAGAGAGCGAGAGCCCAGATGTGAGTGAAGCCAGGACATGTTAAGCACGAGGGCCCATTATGAAGCAAAGCATTCATTAGTGTAAGTGGTCCGTGTGTGTTTAGAAGAGTGTTCCATAAAAGGGTGGGGAGAGAGTTGCGGGGTTTTAAATGAGGGCCCAGAGAAGCGTGCTTGGCAAACTGGGGGTTGTCAAATCTTGGGTGCCAAATATCCATGTCTCAATTGTTCGGTGTGATTTGTTCATGTTCTCCGGGCGCCCTAATTATTTAGCACCAAGAATGTCCGGGGCCCTTTATTTTTGGGGGTCACTCTACAAGACCGCGCCGGCACCGCCCAAGGGTCATATGTTTGAATCATTGGGGTATCGGGAAGGTGGAGAATCTGAGCATCGTATTCTTGGGGTACCCTAGAGTCGGGCCATGCAAGACCAATGGGGTGGGACTTCTGGAGGAAACTTGTCACAAGCGCACAACCAATGAAACTCAATTTGTTAAACACACTATGGCTGCCAACACGAGCCTTTTCTCTGGCCATTGATGTCATCAGCCCTCAACGAAAATGGGGCTCCAACAACATATTATCATCGTGGGGGCTTAGGGTTGAATGTTGATCGAGTTATGTTTATATCGCATTGGCGCCGTGCATGAGGAAGGCATGATGATGTAGCCATGTTGCCCAAGACAGGTTTTGAAAAATTGGGTGTTGCTGTCCAGCTTGCTGATGTCATTGTCAAAAGCAACCTACTGTACCGAACCATCAACAGGAACTAGTAGCTGACCATCCACTGAAAGTGAAGGTTGTTGGCCTCTGATAGGCTTTCCTCCATGTGATCCCTTAGATCATGGGGATCGGCCTGAATATGTTTATGTACCCTGCGCATACTCTTTCTGTTTGTGCACCTTTTCCTGATTCTGTACTGAGGCCTGTAGCTAGCCAGGGCCGCAGGTCACATCATATGACCATTCGTGTAGCCGATCCCATCCAAGAGTCACTTTTTGGAAGGTAGTTGCAATCCTTTTTTGAGGCTTTTACCAAAAAATATCGCAAGGAGACAGAAGACCACCCATCTTTTGGGGGAGAGCCCCTTTCCCCATTTGAAGACACATGCGTTTCACCTTCACGGATCGGCGCGAATCAGGCGCGGGCTTTTGGAGATGGGCTTTGCGAGACGAGGCAAGCGAAGTGTGCGGGTTTGGTTTTGCGGGTCTCGGCGGAGATTTTGGTGGATACACGGTTTGCGGTTGTTTGTGTGTTCTCTTTTTTTTAGAAGCAAATCCCTTTCAGGTTGGTTCAAAGAAGACCGCCAGATTGGGGGGTACCGGTGTACCCCTATTTGGACACTCCCCCAGCTCTTTCGGCTCTGGGGTCTCTGCCCAGGGGCTCCGGAGTGGTTCGGAGCGGCTCCGGGCGTTTTGGTTCTTTGGGGCAAGGCTTGCTGCGGATACCACTTGGCTGTGGGTCAAAAATATGTACCAAAAGGAAACCCAGTAAATGGAAACACGGACTAAAACCTGCGGTCCCTTAGTGGTTTAATTTTGACACACACCCACTTGTTCGTTTTGAGGGTGGCGTCCCTCTGAACTCAAGTGCCGCAAAGGGTGTTCGTTGTCGAAGGGCCACTGCGGGGTGTTGCTGAGATTTCAGGGCCCTTAGCTACAGCAGAGTTGCTCCGAAGCCCAAAACACAGAGCAAACCTGCAGGTAGAACATTGGTATAGATTCCGTTCTTTTTCCCTCCTCCCCTGATTCCAAAAGCCAATTTCACGGCCGTAGGTTTCTGTTTTGGCGGAAACCGGGGGAGGGGATTCCATGTTTCCTATCAAGTAATCCACATACATATCTGTGGGACATTAATGGACATTGCTCAGTCCTTTGTTTTTGTTGACGGGTGAGCTTGCCATCGCGGAGATTTTCAATTCCAAGGGCAATGATGTTTTTGCATGTCGGTTCCCTCCGAAAGTCGAAAATGATCATGTGGATGTGTGTGTATGTGTGTGTATGAGCTTGTTATCGGTACCCTGTTGGGGTAGTTCGAAGGGGAAGCCAAAAGGATCACCACCAATTTGAGGGTCCCCCTATTTTGACACATACTCATGTGAGGAATCGCCTCCGTTGCGTATCAGACTGCACCTTCCGCACTTTGATTGTTGACCGTGGCTCGACTGGGGTTCACAAAAATGTGTGCCCAAGCTGGAAGCCGCAACGTCCATGCACCAACCTGACGAAAGGTCCCAGCATTTCAGTCAGCCTTTCAGCCTTCCCAGCCTTCCCTCAGGTTTTGCTTTAAGAACGCGGGACAAATCGAGCTCGCACATGCGGGCGATTGTGCCGCAACGGCATGTTTTGTCATGGATGCTAGCTTGTTTGTTGTGCACAGATGTACATGGCAGTAGTGTTGACATCATGTTTGAAGGGCTAGTGATGAGCCTTGTGAAGTGGTTGTGTGAATACATGGCCATGGCTCAAGAGCCCCTTTCCAGCATCGCTTGCAAATAGACACTTGTGTGCCAAGCGGGAACAAACAGCGGTCCGTGCGCTGTTTTCATGGTAGCGGAGCTGCCTGGTTGCTGATAGAGGACCTACAGAACTCCTAGCGTCGCGGGTAGCCCCGCAGACGCTGTCACCCCTTGGGCTAGCACGCCGCCCAAGAAGGGGAAGAAGAACACGCGTGGGCAGCGGTTGGCTGAGCGGCGTCAAGGCCGCATCGACCGTGGAGTTTTTCTGCGAGAAGAATCAGTTCACCAGAGAATCATCGCCAGGCAGGAGGCGGAGCTCGCGGTATTGGAAGCTGAGGAGGCTGCTGCTCAAGCAGAAGAAGAAGAATAGGTCTCTGTGGAGGAGGAGCCTGCTGTAAGACCTTCGCTTGTTCGCCGAAAACCGCAGGAGACTGAGAAGTCCGACAGGGCTGAGCGGAAAGCTGCAAAGAAGGCGGAGAAGAAAGCCCGCAAGGCCCAGACCTCCAGCAAGAAGAAGGCCAGGAAGCCGGAGTCTCCAAGGTTCGTGTCCCCCGAGCGCGAGGTCACGGTTGAGACGACCAAGAGCAGCAGCTCTCGAGTCGTTGCGCTAGACGCAGCAGGTCGCTGCCGCCTTGGGCGTGGGTGCCTCCGGCTCGAGGTCCCACGGCCAGTGAGGAGGTCCGCCTCAGCAGAGTACTCGGTTTCTTGGGCCGAAGCGAGCTGGTTGGGACAATCTGCGCTATAAGGAGGGTGGCCATCAAGCGGAGACACTTGGACCAGTTGCCAAGAGGAAGTGTCAGGAAGGCTGCCTTGAACCGTTGGGCCCTGACTGCAGGTCTTGCAAGGTGAGGCAGATCAGGCTGAAGCCTGCGGTTGAGAACTACGCCAGCAGGTTCATCAAACGCAAGAGGAGAGAGCTCAGGTTGAACAGGCGCTAAGGAGGCGGAGCTTCTTCAATCCTTGGAGGAGGAAGAGGAGGAGCCAGAGCCTACACGCAGCTATGACAACCCCAGGGGACGGCGCTGGAGGTGGCGAGATGGATACGGTGATCCAGATGCTTCAGCGGGAGCTGTCGAACGCTGCCGCTGAAATGAGAAACATGCAGCAAGCCATGAATAACCAGCAGCTTCAGATTCAGTCTTTACAGAGCTCTGCAGCAAGGCCGAGTCAGCGGGAGGATCCGCGGCAAGGTCAACTCCCTTGTCAGGGGGTCTGCTTCCTTTGGAGGATGTGCGTGGGCTTGGTAAGCCCGAGATCTTTAAAGGCGACATTCATGGTTTTCAGGATTGGGCATTTATCCTTGAGGCCTATATGACCGCCTTGGACTATAGATTTCAGGCACTTCTGCAGGACAGCGGAGTTGACGGAATTGCTCATGAACGCCGCTGTCAGAAGTGGAGAAAGGGCTGAGCACGCAGTTCTTTTATGTTCTCACTATGTTGCGCAGGGATAAACCGTTGGACATACTGTACAACTCTGGTTCAGGTGAGGGACTGGTTGCATATAAGACTCTTCACAACAAGTATTGCCCTAGAATTACATCAAGGTACGTTGGGTTGCTGATACAGTTGTTGAGTTTCAAGTTCAGCATCCCAGATGTTGTAGCCGGTGTTTCTTGTTTCGAAAGATGTGTCCGGGAGTATGAGTGTCGATCTGGAAGGACACTGGATGAGTATCCTCATTTTGAATCTTCAATTGAGGAACCTCTGGTCAGACATTCCAGTCGTTGCGGGACGAGGTCAACGACATTGCTTATCTCGCAGAACAAGGGCAAGGGCAAAGGTCCCAAAGGAAGCCAGAAGGCAAAGGCAAGGGCTACGACAAAGGCAACTCCAAAGGAAAAGGAGATCGCTCAAAATCAGAGCAGAAGTGACAAGCACCACAAGCTCTTTGGATGGTTGGTGAGGCACAGCAGCTGGTTGATTACCAGATACCTCATCAAGGATGACGGCAAGACGGCATATGAACGACTTCAAGGACGAACTTACAAAGGCGAACTCGCAGAGTTTGGAGAAGTTGTACACTGGAAGAATCCCGTGTCTGAGGCAAGCTGCATGGCCGGTGGAGCATTCGAGTTTGGTTGGGCAAGTCACTCAGCAGTGGTGCAGATCAATTTGGAGGACTCTTGACAGGCAATACAAATATATCCAGACACCAAATTGCCCGGGTTGTCATGCTGAATATGCAGATTATAACAGTCCACACCCTGCAAGTGCAACGAGCGGTTCGCGAAGCTGATTGACGAAGAGAACAAGGGTAAGCCATTCCGTCGTCACCTTTCTGCAAGTTCTGCAAAGCCAGCGCCGCCACCTCAGCAACCTGAAGGACCTCGAAACGAGCCTTCATCCAGTGAAAACAAAAAAAGAGAATTCAGTTAGTGTTGAGGTGAGGATATTGATCCAAACGCTGGGAGTACAGCAAGCGAAGCTGAAGTTGTGCGTTTGGATTCAGATGCCATGTTTGAAGAATTGGAGGTTTGCCAACTCTTCATGTGGCAGCAACCCCACTGCACGTCATTGCCAACGAGATTCTAGATCCTGATAAAGCTCAAGCTGGGAGAAACCGTGAACTTGAACTGATGGATCGGTTCAATGTCAAGACTGACATTACCAGGCAGAAGGCCAAAGAATTGGGCCTTAAGCTGGTCAGAAGCCGATGGGTGGAAAGCCAAAAAAAGATCAATGGTGATCCTGATGCAGTGCGAAGCAGGCTAGTTGCACAAGAATTGAACACTGTGGCAGGGCACTCCACCTCTCATGTTTCATCGGTTGCTGGTGGGTTTGGCTGCCACTCGCAAAGCAAACAGGAGAGACTATGACATGCTTATTGCGAGGTATGATGTCTCCGTTGCATTTTTCCATGCAGAATCAAGCGGTGGCATTGGAGTCATCCCTCCTCGTGGTATGTATGAGGATGATGATGTGATTTGGCTTTTAAACAAGGCAATGAACGGAACCAGGAAGGCTTCCAAGATGTGGGGTGAGAAGATCAGGAAGATCAAGATCGGGGCAGGATTTCAAGAGCTGCTATATCGATCCCCAATGCACACATGCATCCTGAATGGGAGGTAGTCCTGGATGTTCATGGAGATGATTTCCTGGCTGTTGGATCTGAAGAAGATAGACAAGCTGATGGGTGAAAACTATGAGGTGGAAATCTTGCCGAAGATTGGACCCTCACAATTCGGAGGTGAGGTGGATCATGGAATGCACCTTCACAGGATGATCAGGTGGACTCCGGACGGATTCACTTGGGATGCTGATGAGAAGTACAGCAAGATCATAGTCGATGAACTGGGACTTGCTGGTAGAGCTGGAGTTGAAACCCCAGCATCGAAAGCGACAGGAGAAGGAGTCCAAGACAGAGATGAACCTTTGAATGCGCAAGACACGGCCAAGTTTCGAAGATTGGCTGGTACCTTGTTGCATCTGTCTTTGGATAGAGTGAAGGATGCGAAAACTGCTTCTTGCAGAGCAAGCCGACCACCCAGTCGCGGAAGCTGGCATGCAGAATGCCACGAGACGAGGCTTTCGAGGGCTACCGCGGACCAGCTGATTGTGCTCAACACAGAAGTGTACGGGCTCGTCAGTGGTTTTCTGGAAATCCTGGTGAAGCAGCTTGGATATCGCATCAACTGCTTTGATCGCTGTGTTTTGACCCTGGACTTGGAGAGCCGGGAGGCGAACGCAGCCACACAAGGGATGATCGTCATAGAAGTGGACGACGTGCTCGAGGCCGGCAACGTGGAACACCAGCGCTGGATGAGTGCGCTGGAGACAATGCTCAAGTTCGGGAAAGCTGTGGAGTTGCGGAGTGATGCCGCGGGCACTGGATTTGCTGGACGGCGGGTTTGGCAAGAGGCAGATTTTTCCTTCAGCATCACGATGCAGGACTACATCCAGAGCTGTTTGAAGCCCGTCCGCCTCGAGAACAAGACCTTGAAGTGCCAGGCCAAGGATGAAGTACTATCTGCTGAAGAAGTTTCTCAACTCAGAGGGACCTTGGCCAGCATCAATTGGGTTGCGCGTGAGGGACGTCCTGACGCCTCAGCAGCAGCTAGCATTTTGGCTGGATGCTTCCCGACGCCATCGGTCGCCGATGCCATGGAGGCCAACCGCGTTGTGTCCAAGATCAAGGGCCACAACATCCAGCTCAAGATCCACAGCTTTCCAGAAGAGGATCTGCGGCATTTGCTGATCGCCGACAGCTCCTTCGACCCAACTGGCAAGTCAAAGCCACAACATGGGTGGCTGCAAGCCACCACCACGGACCAGCTCAACCTCGGCAAGGCCGCTCCGGTGTCTCTGATCACTTGGAGATACGAACCTTTGCGAAGCCATCAGCATGTCCACTGCGCTCGGATCAATGGAGAAGCAGGTGGCTATGCTGGAGTCGCTGAGGTTCTCCCGGTACAGTCCAAGGCAACGCTTGGAGATCGAGGACGATGGAGGGCTGCAAGGCGAAGCATCGGTGATCGCCTCGGAGAACCCAACATTTCGGGATCCATCCATGATCGCGGTCATCGATGCCAAGTCAGTCTTCGACTCCGTCAAGAATGAGCAAGCGCAAGGAGAAGACGACAGAGCTGCCTTGGAGGTCGCGCTGATCAAGGAGTCGCTCAGCAAAGTGAGGGGCCGCATCAGGTGGGTTCCTCACAACGAGAATCCTGCAGATATGCTGACAAAGGGCAGCGGGGCACATGAAGAGCCCATGATGAGCATGATGAGGCTTTTGGCCACAAACATGTGGCGCCTAGAGCAAGAAGAGGAAGTCCTAGCCCAAGGAAGGCAGGGGCTTCATCGCCGAAAGGCAACTGCCAAACCCACTTCAGTTTTGGGGGCTGACATCACGTAAACATGGGTTGGCATGTTGTCTTTGTAGGCCTTGAGTCATATGCGCTGACGCAGCCCGTAGATGGAAAAGGCGTTAGCCCGCCTTAAGAGATTCTACCCACATGACAATGGGAAGCGTCCTTGAAAGAGAAAACAACTTTGCCCGATGTCGACTGACAGCCTTCGCACGTTCAGGATGCCCAGCGCGCGGCTGTGAGCCTGTCGTGTTTGAGAAGCGGAGCCATTGGGCCTTTCCATTCGTTGAAAGAGCTGTACTGAGCACTGGGTGCTTCGGCCATAGTTGTTGCTTTTCCTAAAAGAAAACAGTCTGGCGTGGGAAATTGTTCGATTTTTGCAACCAGTACCTGGAAATTGGACGCTTTGGGCCCGCAGAGATACGATGCTTCGCAAGCTTACAGGCTTGGCAATCTCAGACAACTTGCTAGTTCTCAGTAAGGAAATCAACAGGGCTTTGGAGAGTGACCTAGGGACGTAGTAGGAAATCACGCATCTAAGTTGAGGTTCCCTGCCTATCGAAGCGAGCAAGAACGACCACTGGTCCAACTCCCAAACCCGCATTCTGCAATCCATTCACGAAACCATGGGCTTTAGCATGCTGCCTTTGCTTCGTAGTTGCAACTGAGAGCTGTAAATGCGGAACATGGATTGCCCTTTTGGTTTCCTGCTTGCTGGCCTCCTTCAAGCGAACATTTTGAGGGTCAGACTTCCTTTTGAGGTTGCTTTCCCTTAAGCCACCATGAGGGTCATTTTGAAGATGTTACTTTAGTGCAGCCTGCCGCAACACCAACCAACCCTAGGCCCAAAAAGGTTCGCGATTGAGACACGAGTGGTTCCCTTTGCCAGGCATCGCTTGCTGCACAGGCTGGACGGATGACACAAGTTTCGTGCTTCACGGGTCACGTATGGAAATATGATTTTGTTGAAGGAGGATTGGTATGCCCTTGTGGGTGGGTTGTTTGGAGCCCTTGCGCTGCCACGCAAAGTAACATAGCTGCTTCTTTTTGTTTTCCGCGCAAGTGTTTTTACAGGTTCTGAGAGCAACTTCCCATGCCATGCCCAATCCGAGGTAGTGCTCATGTCGCATGTGTGCATCGGCAGGTCAACCCTACCAGCGAGGAGGTGCGATGGTGCAGCATGTGGCATGTCTGGCTTAACATCATACCGAGCTGTGGTAACATGAGCTCAGGAACCATGATCAATGTCCCTTGGGTTTCCTACTCGGATATGTGGCAAGCTGTGGGGACCCCAATGGTGGTTTTCTTTTTGGCCCCCCTTTCAACCATGTTTGGTTTGAGAACTGAGAGTCGTCCGAAAGGTCCTTGTATTCAGCTATGAAGGGAAAGTTTCGCAAAGGGGGTCGCGAAAGTTATTTTCTTTTTGACGAAGGTTTCGTGTAAGGGGAAGCTGGAATGATGAATCATGTGTATTTGCTGGCAGTGCACGCAGAATGCCCGCAGACTAAATAAAGTTGGTCGGAGAATGCGCGGCCGGAGGGTCGCCGCAAGAAAATGCGCCGCTGCAAAAGCAACGCCCAGCCAGCAGAAACCAGCTTGTGGGAGCTTTGCAACCTTCGGGTCAAACTGAGTGCAACATTCCAGCCGGATTTTCGCGAATGTTTGGCGTAAGATCCGCAAAAGTTTCGCGAAAGCCAACGGACCTCTTCTTTCTGGACATGAGGCCGACGGGTCCTCTCGTGTACTGCAGCACAGCTTGTGAGCTGGAGCTGCTACTTTGGAACTGAAAGGTTGCGACTTTCGCGCTGGGGCTGCGGAAGCTTACTTCGCGTACTACTTTCGCATCCTCCATAAATTTCCTGGTAGTTCTCGTCTTTAACTTGCTTTTCCTAAATCTCGATGTTTTTTCGTGAAGTTGCCCAAAACTACTCCTATCTTTCGTGAGATTGCAGAATTGTTCCCTTTTTACGTTTTCACCGTCCGCAAAGTACCCGCAAAACGCCCGCAAAAAGACGCCCGCAAAACCCTGCAAACGTCCGCAAATCAAAAACCTAGAAAGGTCCACCACGCCCAAAACTACCAGGAAACCAAAGCTCCTATAGGCAAAGGCCGGGGAATGAATCTTCAGGAACTTTGAAGCTGGAACTGCGGAAGTTTACTTCGTGTTCTACTTTCGTAGCGCAAAGTTGCGACTTTCAAGCTGGGGCTGCAGAAGTTTACTTGCGTGCAACTTTGGCATTGAAAAGTGTTGGCTTTCGAGGCGAGGCTGCGGGCGTTTACTTCTCGTACTACTTTCGTATTGAAAAGCTGCGATTTTCGAGCTGGGGCTGCAAAAGTGTACTTCGTGTACTTTTGTGATAGATGGACTGCCTGTGCACTAGCGCATGCAACAAGGACAGGTGCATCTTGTGATGTGTGCATGGAGGGGTGTGTGCCCTGGGAAGCCCAGCACGCTTGGGATAGGTTGATTTTTCGAGAGCGCGCGCACCAAGGTGGGCCAGCAGCTGCGTTTTGTAGGGCTCCTTCTGCGCAACGCGGTAAAAGTTCAGGCGCCCATTCCGTTGCGTGTGCTGGGAGCGCCTGTGGTCCATGCCGCAGCGGACGCATTTGCAGAGCAAGACACGGCAGAGCTAGACGGTTGGTGGCTCATGCTTGGGAAAGCCTTGTGCGCCAGCAACATCCTTGGGTTTGAAGTTCAGCTTTCAAGGGACGTGCTTCCCCGATGGTTCCGGGCGTCAACCGATTCGTCCACGCAGAAAAGTGCATTGCGGCGCTGGAAGCGCTTGCGCAGCTCATTTTGGTTGCGCTGCAGCACGGCGAAGGCGTATGCGAGTCTGCAGTTGTGGTATGCTTGTCGCAGCAGTGTGACAATCAGGGAGTCTGCTGAGTCAGAAGGCGCCTCTCTGCCAGTCCTGCAGTGCTTTGGCTATTTGTGTTGCCGCCTTGGGCTATCTTGCTCCATGTCTTATGTCGCTGGTGTACGCAACAAGTGGGCCGATCAATTCAGCCGCAGCAAAGCCTTAAGAGTGCGGCCTGAGAATCAGCGGCGCCTGTGCTTGTCTACGCAGCCGTGGGCTGGGCGTGAGTTGGCGCCCTTTGGTTGGGGAGCGCAGCATTCTGTGCGCAGCTTCACTGCGGTCGAACTTGAGCCACTCCCTGTGGGTTGAGTGGGCAGTTGGCCTGGGCAGTCCAGCTGCCAGTGTGTTTCGACCATTGTAAAACAGAGCGCACAGTACTAGTGCGCTACCTATGCTGCCTGTACTGCCTGCGCACCAGTGCATGCAACAAACACAGATGCATCTTGTGATCTGTGCATGGAGGGGTGTGTGGCTTGGGAAGCCCAGCACACTTGGGATAGTTTGAGCTTCCACCCTCCCACCCTTGCTTGATCTTGGGAGCTTGGTGACAAGCGGGCTGTGGCCCATTGTTGTTTGTTTTGTTATGTTGTGTCCGTCGTTTGGTTTGTTCGCTTGGTCGCTTGCTTGGTCGCTTGCTTGTTGGTTTGTTTGTTTGTTTGTTAATTGTTGTTTGTTTGTTTGTTTGCTTGTCTGTTTGTTTGGTTGGTTGGTTGGTTGGTTGGCTGTTTGGTTTTTGGTTGGTCTGTTTGTTTGAAGTACGTGGTTGTCCCTGCATGTTTTTTCAGCTTGCCATGGGCAAGTTGCACCAAGTTGCACGGCCCACATGTGTCAGGAGACGCTGCTGGACACTGTCAGCAGGCCAGCCGCCTTGGGAAGAGTCGTGACAGCCGTGGTCACAAGTTTTGCCATGGCCTCTTGGGGAATGTAGTCACTTTGTCCGTGGCTATCATAGTCCAAACACCCTTTTACTTGTGCTTTAGCTCAGGGAGAGAAATACATCTGTGTGCCTTTGTGTGTGTGTAGTGTTATATGGTGCGTATTTCCGTGATGCAGTAATATGCAGTAATATGCAGTATGATATTGATTGAGGATACTCTCTTTTTGGGAATTCAAAGGGAAGTTAAAACCATTTTTTGGGGGGGTCCCCAATATCAATATGCCGATATAGAGATATGTATGCACAGGTTCACATAGATATAGATATACATACCCGCAGATGGCGGGGATGGTGGCAACATACATGAGTGCCAGGATACTTGGACCACCCCCAAAACTGTCTGGAAGGGTACGCGCAAGTGCAGGCGCTGTCCAACAAAACATTCATATGTGCATGCAACCAAGATTGTTTTGAGGTTTGGCTTGCAGCACTGTGGCCGCCGCAACGCTGTGGCTATTTGATGAACCTGGCCAGGAAAGTTTGTCTGAACGGAGACTCCTTATGCATGGCCTTGTTCCCGGCTCCACTTTTCCAATTTCAGCAGTGTCGTCACCATCTTGCATCTTTGCACACACGACTCAAGGGGATCGATTTTGATTTTTCGTGCTTACGGAGAGGCTTGGATGTGGAAGGCTCGTGGCAACTTGCCTGACCTTTTGCCCCTTCCAAGGTGTGGGACGTTTCGCATCACATACCCCAAATGTGTGGTTTCCCTTTGGCTCCCTTCAAACCAACCCAAAAAGGGTACCCGCACAGAAGAGACACCCAAAAGGAGACCTTAAAGGCCTTACTTTGTGGACAAAACCTGCCCACCAAACCCAAGAAGGACGCAATCCCAGGAATGGTTGGCAACGAACACGCGCAACAAGGCAGCCTTTCCCAATGACACCTGGCAAGCCTTCTCACTGTTTGGAAGGCAGCTGCTTCCCCACTTGACACACGCAAGTTGGGAAGCGTACACTTTGGAGGGTGTTTGCGGACTAAATCCCAAAAAGGCCGCGAGGGAAAGTTGGGTTATCCTTTTGGAACGCCTAGGCTGTTTCCACATTTACACCCAGACCCAGCTCTTGCTGGTTCTCACTGAATGGGGAAATGACCTAACAACCCAACTGGTTTCCTTACGAGACTCCCCAGGTTGAGAACCAAGACGAGCCAAATATTTTCCGGCCTGGAGTCTCCATGACCAACAACAATGTGACCCACCGAACAGAGTTCCAAAAACCTGCTCATTTTTGGGTACCCTCCCACCTGACATGGAAGTGCACAGACCCCTGCAACAAAGATGGTGTCGCCCGGTCGTTTCATTCTCGGGGCGAGTCAGTCGCGATCGCAGGGTGGACGCCGCCAGCCTCTCGCGGCTCTGCAGCGGCCTGGGCGGGGCCGTGCCCGGGCTCGAGGCCGGCGCCCGAAGGCTCAAGCTGTGGACTCGCTTGAAGGGGGGGGGTTCGGAGGTTCGTGTCCCTACCACTTTTGGGCCGTTTTATGCCGAGAAGGTTCCTTTTGGGGCTACGTTTGCCCAAAAGACACTTGTTCAGCTGTTTTAATAGGGGCCCGAAACCCGCGTTGGCCATTTTTGCAGGTGGTTCAATACCCGGCCTCAGGGGGGTTATTATGGCGCCTAAATGGGGGGGCATGAGGGCGTCTTGATAGAACCAAAGCCAAAGTGGCAGGTGTGAGTTTCAGGTCCATATAAACCTAATCAGGCTGGTAGAATGCCCTTTGGGAACCTCCCATGTCAGCCTAGTTTTTGCTTGCAATTAAAGTGTACAGAATGACACACATATGTTTTACATGGAATATTAGGGTATGCACCTGCCTTCAGGGTACCATCTTGGGGGTGGTGCCGCGTTTCCCAACTCCTCTGAAATGCGTTCTTCAGCTTAGCAACTAACTAGTCGGCTAAGGTAGCTTTTATGGCAATCGTGGCCTGCAAGACACACACACACACATAAGACACAAGTCCCACTGAACCCATTTGACATGCTTTTTGAGGGTACCCTGTTTTACACCAAAAGGAATACACAATTTTGGGGGTCCCTAATCAAACACTTGTTTGACACGCAAGACGGCAGAGATGCTCGTGAGGCAGCCCAATCCACAGCCGACAATATCGCAGCAGCGTTGGGCGGAACTGGCAGGCGAGGGTGTCGTGGTTCGCTGACTCATCTTACCAGAGGTTTACCGACAAGCACAGCAGTGGCATCGGATCAAATGGAGATGCGCTGATGTGCTGTCGCATGATCGTCCAAGTACCGACTATTGAATGTGTCAGTACTTGGCATGTCTTTCTCTCTCTCTCTCTCTCTCTCTCTCTCTCTCTCCTTTTTTACGGGACCCCAAAAATGGTGGCTTTCCTTTAGGCGTTGGGCTTAGGCCGTCACGGGGCTTTCTGGTCACTTGACATGTGATCCACGGGTGTTTCAGGAACTGCCTGACTCTCACTGCTTTCGGTTCAAGATTTTGCACGAGGCCCTGCGGACCCCTAGAATTCTTCATTCTGAAGCCAGAGACGTGTCTGCCTTTGTGTCCCAATGGGGGCTGCCCATCTGCCGGATCCAAGATGCGTGTGCAGATCCCGCGCATGTGGAAAGGCCACATCGTGCTGCCGACAGCAGGCTGCTTCCTTTGCAGGTTTCAGTGCGTGCGCAAAGCTTGGCTCTCTTTGCGGACGCCATCTCCGGAAGGCTTCGCAGTTTGTATCCAGGGGATGCACTATGACACATAGCATGTGGTACTCTGTTGTGGATGTGTGCTGGGGGTCTCATGCTGTTCATGTCCTCGAGCAGGCTTGCCCTTTCCAATGTTGACAGCGTGGACGCCAAAGCATTCGTCAGAAGCTACAGAAGCTACTCCATTTCCTTTCGGCAGCCTGTACCTTTGAATGTCACGACAAGCATGCCATTGCCCTTCCCAACTGGCAGTGGGTGATTTTAGCCATGCTAATTGATTCGTCACCTCGTCGCGTACTTTCTGGAGCGGTTCGGGTCGCAGGGTGTATCTAATGCACGCGACATTGCGCGGGGCCACCATTGGCATTGCATCCATGGCCAGCCCCCTACAGTATGCTCTGAGCAGGTTGAGGGGTTCCCGCATCTTCCGGATCCTAATTATGCGCGCCACTGGGTTTTGGGTTCCAGTTTCCGGGAGTGGCCGAGGGAACCCCTGCTTTACCATGACAAAGCAAGTCAGCACGCGTTGTCAGAAAGAGAATTGTTTTCTGTGATTTCAAGGCAGTTTGCATGGATGCTGACGTTTGGACACAAAATGGGGGAAATTGAGCCCATTTTGGGGTATGTGAGCGCAGTGTCCAGGCAGAGATCAAGCAGTGGTGGAGATTCCGATGGGTCTCTCACCAGGCTACCGGCCTCCATGTTGCAGCGCTTGCTCGTTGAGCCCTGGCACTGCCAAAGGCGGGGAGGGGATAGGAAGGCTCAATAGGGAAGGACACCAGTAGATTCAGCCTATCATGTCTAAGTTTAGTTTAGAAGCACTGTGGGGGTCCAATGTGAGGAGTGGGCTTTGTGCGTTTTTAGTCCGTGAAAGGTGGTTTAAAGGGAAAAACCAAGCCCCGCCTGAATTCTGACAATGTTCGAACAAATCCCTTGCAAAAGGGCTTAGGCCGGAAGAAGGAAGGAAACCAACATTAAGCAAATATTGTTTTAAAAAATGAAAGTGGAACAAAAGGGAGCCTTGCCATTGTTAAAAGGGAAGCTAGAAGCCTCCAAGAAGGAAGCCAAAAAAGCTTTAGCAACACACGCAGCTCCTTTTCCACAGAAATAGGGTTTTTGGGCGGCTCCGAGACTCTGGGAAATTTACTTGCTGGCCAAGCGAGAGTCTTGTTTCTTGTTTCATCATATTTCTTAACACGCTGATCGACCGTAGGCGTAGAACCCCCCCCACCCCCGCCCCTTCCAAGCAACTTGTGGAAACATCGGAGCAACAAATTCCTCAGAGTTCCCTCCGCGCTTTGGCTGGATTGGAAGCCGCTCACTTCGCCTATAAAGGGGTTTCGAGCCGTTCGCTTCGCCTTGGGGAACCATTTGGGTTGGATCTCCAGGTCAAGACCTTTGGGACATGCAGAATCCTCACTTGGGTCTGGGTCAAAATTAAGCCACCAGGAATTGGACCGCAGGTTTCAGTCCACGTTTCCATTTATCAGGGCAAGCCATTTTTGGTACCTATTTTTGACCCACAGCCACTTGTTTGCATCAGCTCAGTATCTGGACATGATTTCTTGTTTCGGAGTTCTTGCAGTTGGAACTAAAATCAATGACGCCGCTTGCATATGATTATGGCAAGGGCTGCACCTTACGTTCTAAGGAGGGTATGTAACCAACTGAGCGGCATCTAAATCCTCCGTGTATATGTTTAGTAAGAGTCATGTTATATCGACCAGTGAGGAAGGCGAAACTCCTTGCGTGGCGTAAGCTGATAGCGTAAGCAAAACCTCCAAATGTGTCGCGTAAGCAAGACGTCCACACGCGTAAGGTGGCGTAAGCTGGTGGCGGAAGCAGGTGGCGGAAGCAGAATGATCCGACATTGCAATTCATGACATGTTTAGGACATAGCTCAACCAGCTCTGTCATTTGTTTCTTGGCACTTGGATGTGTCATGTTCCTGCTGTGCCTTCGACTCTCAACAGTAGCATTCGCTACAGTTTTCGTTCAAGGGTGATTTTGAGATTCATCCATGTAAGCAAAGATTCCTTTGGGTGCTTGGTGATGTCTTTTGCAGGGCTGCTTAAAAGATGCATTTTGCCCATTTGAAACATGGCTGTTTCCCCAAATTCGAGGGAAACCGCCATTTACAAAGCAATGTTCAGGTGTATAATGTAAGGATCCCTGTGCTTGGTGATGTCTTTTGGGTGGACCCCTGCACTGCAACTTGGGAAAACACAGTCTTCCAGTTGCTTAGTAATATTTGTTATTTTCCCCTGTTGGCTTTAATGGGAATCAAATGGAAGAAGTCCTCTGAGGAAAAAATCGCCGCACGAGAGGCTTTGGCTGCTGTCCGACGCTGCGCTGTCGCCACCTCAGCACATGTGCCATCAATGGACTGGTTCCTTTGCTGGGGGGAAGGGATTGAACCTCAGGGGTTTCACATGGCCATGGTTCAAAGCAAATGGGATCCCATTTTGGGATAGGTGCACCACCCGTTTTAGTCTATTTTAGTGGGGATTGGGATGTTCACTGGGGGTACAGGTTTCATATAATCTTTGGTGCCTGTTGCTTGGATGCCAGGACTTTCACTTTTTGCCAACTAGTGGGTTTCTAAAAGGAGCAGAAGGCAACCGAGTAATCATTGTAAAGGTTCCTACTGGATCTTGATTGTCTGTGCCGCACACAAGCCACCTTGACCATGGCACACATGGATTGGTTTCCTTGTGGTCTCGTTTGACAGCCATCAAGCTAGTCCCCTATTAAGAGCCGCCCCCATTGCCAAAGCCGTGTTGGAAACACATCACCTTTGGCTGTGACTTCCAGCCAACTGTTCAACTGGGCCTCGAAAGGTGGCGATCGTTTCAGCAGACCCCACCAGTAAGTTGCAACCTTTGAAAGGGAACCCCCCCAGACAAGGGCAACTTCGGCCTAGAGTATCTTCTAATACTCGTAGTCGCTTCATTGTCCTTTGCAAGTTGTTGTTTAGCTGTTTAGCTGCAAAAACACAGCTTAAGGATTGGTAGGTCAGTTCATGCAGGCAAAGTCCATTGACACCTGATCTATGTCGTTCCCTGGCTCAGGCCGTGGCTCGTGATGCAGTGCCGCTACTTCCAGGCTCCGCCCAAGGGCAAATTGATGGAATCCTCTGCATTGTCTCGGCTGCGAAATGCTCATTTGGGTACACTCTCTCAGACAGGAGGGGGGTGGAAGACTACTTTCCTTTGGAAAACCCCTCTGTCCACTTCCATGTTTGTTAGTGGGACGGTATGGGTCAACATTAATCCACGAGATAAAAGCAGGTTTTAGTCCATGTTTCCATGTACCAGGGCAACCCATTTTGGTGTTACCCTATTTTCGAGCCACAGCCATTTGGCAATTCTTTTGGATAGTATTATGGTCTTGTGGTCAGTTAGGTTGGCCACTTTCTGTGATTCGGGCAATCCCTGTGCTGGCTGTAGAAAAAGAGATGCATGGGGTACTCAATGGGCCAGACTGGCCCCACGGGTCCTTGGGGCAACCCTTCGGAGCGTTTGACTGCGACATCGGTCGACCCAAACCTTCGTCGCCCTGCCATGGCATTCCACATGAAGGTTGGTCGGGACGTGAGAATGGGCAATGTCCAACCGCAAAATCCGAGGGGCGGATGTCCATTCCCCAATATTTTTTGGATCCCGCAGCAAGGCTCAAGGCCATCGGGCGCTATTGAAGCGACTGCAAGTTCATTGCAATCCAAATTCGTTTTTTGTTGGTTCCAACCAGATCACCAGTCCAAGGTTGCTGGACGTTTGTTTCTGCAAAGTACACCGACCTCGGTTTGCAAGCTCTCACCTCTAGACGTGCCTTGCCTTCCGCGCGATCGCGCAGGTGGCGATCGCCGCGCATGTGCCAAACCTGCAATGGCCTCAGAAGCTCTCGATTTGGGCTGGATGGCTGTAAGGCAAGCTGCAAAGCTGCGCTGGTGGGTGTTTTTTGAAGCTACCCTTTGTAACTTCAAGGGGAAACCTCCGGAAAACCACCATTTTGGGGGTCCCCTATTTTGACCCATACCCAGGTTCACAGCTGACCTGATCCCGTTCCAAATAGCTTAACTCAAACGCTACGTTGTCCTAGAAGTCATCGTGTCGACGTCTTACGGGGCAAATTGAAATGGTCAAATCGCCTTACATGCCTGCGCACTCTGCAGAAGCCTCCTGTGCAGGTCAGCTTGTAAATCCAGTATGCGGCCACCGGACCATGCTTCCACGGAGAGGCTGCTGCTAGACTAGGTGAGTAGTTGAATGGCATAATTCATTTTGGACCCTTGGCATTCTACGTTGCTAGAAGTACTGTGACTCAACAGCTTTGCTGATTTGCCCCTTTGGCTTCCTTCATTTTTCCTTTTGACCAACAGAAAGTCAACATTGCGCAGGGGTCTGACCGCTTTGCCCCACTAAAGTGATTTTCCTTTCCCAGGGAGTGTCATGCTCACGTCTGTTGTCAGTTTGTTTGTTTTTTGGTTGTGTAGTAAATAGGCCCGGGCATTCCGACTGGCAGACAGACTTGTCTACCACCATGGCGTGCCTTAGAGAGGGAAACCTGGAGGAGACTATTCTATTCAAATGTAGTAGTATATATATATATATACATACATATATATATATATACAATATGAATACCTAAGTATACTTGTGAATCCATTCCATCATGGAGGGTGATTTGCACAAAAATAGTTTAGGCACACAACTTCCCGAAACACGTTTGTTTATTTGCTTGCGTGAGGTTCTCCACCCACGGAAGCACGCCTTAAACCTAGACGTTGATGCAAGCGAAGCTCGGAAATAGGACGGGATGTCCATTGGCTTTTGTTTGTTCGTTTGTTTGCCTTTGTTCAATTGCATCGCGTTTCCTTTTCGGTTTAGCGCATGGTCGCTAAGAATCAAGTCGATCCACACAGGGTTTCGGCAAACGATTGTATGAAGGGAAACCATAGGGACGGGTAAGTCTAGCCGAGGTTTGTTGTGGTCGGTTTAGACATGTCAAGGAAGTTCAATGAAGCCCTGGGATTTGTGTGTCCACTAGCTTTTTCGGGCCCCAAAGGTCCACTCCAGTCTCCCACCGGAGCCCAAGTATTTCCTAAATAAGGCCTTATTAAGAGCTTACTAAGGGCTTTTTTGGGCTCCCTCCCCCTCCCCTCCCTCCCCTGCCCTCACCTCCCTCCCCCCCCCCGACCCCCATGATTGTCCAAAAGGACTCCGGATCGCTCAGGTTCCGGCACTTGATTGGTGAGGGCCTCGCGCCGGAGCTTTTCTTCTGCCGGTGGCTGCAAGGCGCATGCACACGACACCCCGTGCGACCCGCGGCTTCAAAGGCTTGTCTTTTTGGCGTTCCCCTGGTGTTCTGGTTTTTAGGGGGTCCTTTACAAAGTTCACCAACGTGGATATGTATATATGTGTCCTTGTTTTGGGGGTAAGTCCAACCGCAAGGAATTTCCTGCAACAGCCCATTGGGGTGGCGAGTGAGTGAAGATTGCCGGTGAGTTGCTTGAACGCCATAGTCAAAAGACCTGCTTGCCTCGGGTTGGTCATGGAACCACTGATAGAGAATTTGGACAACCATCATAAGGATTCCCAGTAATGCAGCCACCCACAAGGCCCAAACTGGGACGACAAATTGCTGGGCTGGGAGGAAATCAAACATCGTCCATGTGTACCGAATCCCATCAGAGTCCAAAGTGGCCAGCCCGTTCTATCTTCAACCTTCTCGCACGACTTGGCTAATTCCTTTGCGGTGCGACATTGGAACTGCATCCGCTTGATTTTATGGTCCGAAAAAACCGCCGGCACCATAGTGCCACAATCAAAGCGCAGCATGCGGGCCATGGTCATCTAGACTTTGGCACAATGACCTTGTGCATTCAAACACTGCCACCCATTTTGGGATGTTGTTTTAACATCACCTTGTTGCCAGGACTGATTACAGTAACTTTATCCTTGGACTAAATAGCATTTTAGGTTGGACATGGTTGGACACACAAGGAACCCTGATTTGGGGTGTGATGAGTTTTGGTTGGACCTACCGGGGAAAACCACAAAACTTGTTTCTTTGTCGGCTCTTGAGGTAACCCAGCGTTTTGGTTGACGAAAATCGAAGAGGGGCAAGCCTTTTGCTGTATTGCCGTAGGTGTTTGTTCACGTCGGGCCCAATGTGGTTCAGGTTTTCATACCAATTGGTCTCCTAATCAATGTGCGATTTTGCCTTTGACTTTCTAGGGCTCCTTAAAAGAAACTCAGTTTGCAAGCATTTGAAACATGGCGGGCTTTTTCCACCCAAATAAACGGACACCACCATTGACAAGGCAATGTTCAGGTGTATAATGTAAGGATCCCTGTTATTAGGGAGGTGTTCCCCTCCAAAAGTGGTCCGAATCCCCACTAAAAGGAATTTGACTTTCCTTGGCCCTTGGGAGGCTTATTTCAAAGCTGCCTCACCCCAGAGTTGCAGCTGCGGATCTGGGCCCGAGCCTCGGAGGGAGCGCGGAAACAGGCACGAAAGGTAGGAAGCCAGCTGGCTGGGTAGGCAACCAACAAGGGTTTTGGGAATAAACGAACGGATCCCTTTAAGGGAAACTATAAGAGGATGGTTCATAGGGGGTGATTCCATTGAGGCCCTTTTTGGGGGGCGTCGACATTTATAGGAATTACACCTGCAGAGGGGCCCCCTGATTGTTTTTTGGGCATATCTAGAGGAGCCACCAGAAAGCCGGGCCCAAAATGGTGGCCTCATTATGTTAGCATCATCCAAGTCACCCAGTGGTATCTTGACCGAGTTGCCCAGTGGTGCCTTGTCTCAACTTTTTGGGGAGGGTTATTCCTCTTTAAAGTCAACCAACCAAAAAAAAGGATGAGGATTATTTTTGTCCCATGGACAGTCACTGGGCATCCGAGTTACAGGGAAACAACCCCTTGCTGACCTTGACCCCGTCAAAGCAATGACCCTCTTTTGGCCCAGCTCTCTGTTCGGCCACGCGTCCAGGTTAGGCACCTTTGGGGACATAGCTCAAGGCCGCCCCTCCCCCCCAAAACCTCCCCCCCCAACACCCCCCCCGCCAGGTAAGCTGAATCCTTTCAGTTTCCCTCAACACGAATTGCCCAGTGGGGGTCTCCGGCCTAACTGGCCGCCCTTGGACTGGTCTGCGGTGGTTGCAACCGAATTCCCGATGTCCCCTTTGGTTTGAGCATCTTGTGCGAATGTTGAGTGATATTTAAAGGGGACATATGGGGAACACAGCCAGATTGCCCCTGAAGGGCAGTCAAAAGGGGAGGTGTTGAAACAGTGGTTCCAATAAGTACCCGCTTTAGTTGTTGGTGCTCTGAGATCAATCGCAAAAAGGGGGGATTGCGCGGGGTTTCAGTTTGCTTTCTCAACCAGCGTCATCGACTTTGGAAACTAACTGTAGCCGACACGTCTCCACCCTGAGACTCAAGCACAGGGGCGGTTCACGTTTTATGCACTGATTGCAATCCTCGCCCTAGGTACCCTGGGGGATGTGGGCAACTGAAAGCGAGGAAAGCCGGGGGTTCATATTTATACGGAAGATGTGTTGCCACTGGATATAAGATCCCGCAGAATGTGACAAATGAGTGCGTTTTGTCCAATCCGTTTTGTTGCATTTATAGCACCAAGATTTGTCAAGAACTTTCGGTTGAGCGGCGTCCTGCAGGCTAGTTAGTTTTCTGCCATGGTCGCGCAAGGGTGGACGCCTACCCGTCAAATCTCGCATAGGTCTTGGCTTTCTTTGAGAGTTCAGGCCTGAGTTCATGAGTTGGCCCTTGCATGTCGCCTTTGGAGCTTCCGTTCATGGGGCCTGGGGGGAGGGAAGGGAGAGGAAGAAACCTAAGCCTTTGGGCTTATTTGGGCTCCCTCCCCCTCCCTTCCCCCCCCCCCCCCCCCCCCTCCCAGCCCCCCAATGGTCCTTCAGAGCCCTCAGCTCAGGACCTCTTCATCTTCGAGCGATCTTTCAAGGCCTGCCGGCGTTGCTCCCAACCTTCGAGATGTTTATTATTATTATGATTACTAGTACTATTATTCTATTATTATCATTATTGTTTGTACTCGTATTTGTTTAAATTATTATTATTTACTATTATTTGTATTAAAATTACTAATTATTATAATTAGTATTAGTATTAGTGTTTGTTTATTATTGTTAAGTATTTTCAATTGTATTATTGTTTATCTAGTATTATGTTTGGAATTATTATTTGTGGTATTGTCATTGTGGTTGTTCTTTTTTTTTTTATAATGATACTACTAATAATATGTATTATTACTTTTATTATACTATTATTGTTATTGATATTGTTATTTACTATAATTATAATTATCATTAATATTATTGTTAATATTACTGTTATGATTATTATTATTATTTGTATGACCATGATTATTATTTATTATTAATTATTTCCTGTCTTTTTTAAATTATGATTATTACTATTATGATTTTTTTTTTTTTTTTTTTTTTTATGATGTATTATTATTAGTTATTACTATGGTTAGTGTTATTGCTATTTATTATTATTACTATTATTTTGATTGCCTATTGTGCATATGTTCTTGTTGGGATGCATTTGCCTATTTTTCCGCCAGCCTTTTTGGTCATGGATTCTTTATCTTGGGAATGATCAGGTTTTGTGTTTTTCTAGAATTTTCAGATTTGCAGACACATGTTTCAATTGGTGAGCTTATTCTTGGCTTGTCCTGGGCTTTATCCAGGCTCTTTCCAATAGCCCCCCTTGCAGGTCTATGAGAGCCGCAGTCAGAACCTGTGTATATGACGGTTAGGTGCGGCGGCCCCTGATTGTGACTCATGTGAGGTTTGGTCACAAGACCTCAGTTTGGGTTCCCAGAAAGTGTCAATTTTCGTACGGCTTTCAAACCAATGGGATTTCTATTAAGGGAAGCATGAGTTAATGCGGTTTGTCTTCGAGGGGGCTCCCCCCGTTTTCGCCACCCCCAGAAAGGGAGCCGTTCCAAAGAAATGGAAATAGGGTCCAAGTTGAGGTCTTCGTAAAGCTCGCTGTGGCCATTTTCGCCCTCCTGGAAAAGAGGCTGCCGGTGCCTCAATCGCTGGGCACCACCAGGAGGGGACATTCAAGAATACCACTTTAGTGGTTTTAGTGAACTCCAAGCAGATGAGTTTGGTTTCCCATGGCCCCTCCATGCCTTCTGAATTCTTTGTGCGCCGCACAACAAGTGTTTTGTAAGCAAGAGAAGTCCTGCAAAGAGTCAAAAGGTGGATTTGCCGAGTGGTGTACAAATGCCGCTTTGTTGAACATTCCCGTTCCACGTAGCCCTGGATCATTGCGCAGGTGCCCTACAATCACATCAACACAACCTCTAAACTTCGACACTGCGCAACGCCATCTCATCATAGTCCAAATATACATTCATGTAGATACACATATATATATATATATATACATATATGGGTATATGTACGCATGCATTGTTGTTTTGAGAATTGGGCGCATCAGCTGTTCAACGCGAAGCGAGAGAGTGGGTTATCCCGCAGGTCCATTCCCGAGGATTCCCGAGGATGGTGAGAAGTTGACAACATTGCTTGTACTCTAGCTTAGAGTGGACGAGCAGTTCTCCTATATGGGCCAAAGGATCGGGCAAGACATCGAGAAGATGATGGACCTGCTCTTCGATTCCTCGGCCCGGCTGCTCAGAGAGCGGGACATTTTCTCCGCTCCAAGGGGGGTTTCAGCTCAATTTGCAGCTTGGCGTTAAGCCACCCACGCGGGCGCTACTGCTTGCCAAGATGACCATGCAGTTCAATCGCCAAGCGAAGATGTGTAAAAGTCAACAACTGTTATGGGCTGCTAAAACTTAAACACAGTACGAGCCGAATAGGATGCCGTTCATTCATAACCTCTTATGGTCAGTTTCGAGCATCACATTCTATATGATGAAGCAAACCAATCCGCGTTATACAGTTATCGTGCGATACTTTTCTTGCATGGTTTCAATTGGCAACTCACTGTTTCAGTGGATTCTCCAAACGTAGTCTTAACTTTGTGTGTTTACCGCTATGGTCTTGCCAAAAAGTAAGTCCAGACACTTGGGAAGTGAGGAAAAGGTGTGCCAACACAGATGGATACCATCGGATGGCTACCAGGCCGGCGGCGTTCAAGTTGCGGGTCTCGAGTCGAATCGTGTTAAGGCTACGGTTGAAACAATATCCGCTTGGTTTTCGCGTGGGTGGCAAAGGTTAGGTTGCCAAACAAAACTCGCAACCTACCCTGATCCCAACCCCAACTTCTTGAGGTTGTTTGTTAGTCCTGCAGGGCCCGGCAAGCCAGCTTTCAAAGACCAGGAGTGTCACCGGCGCCGTCATGGTCGGGGTTGAATCGCATCCCGGCAAATGAACGGATGATTGTCCATAATCCTTCGGTAGTTTGCACGTCTAGGGGATCCCTTGATTTTTGCTTCCCCTCCGAGACTCCCCAGATTAGCATGGATCCAAAAGACCATCCTTTCTAAAAGAAGCTCCTTTCGGGGGACCTTTTTGAGTTCCATGTTTGTTTGCAGAGCAGAGGTGTCTTTTGAGGCACACTAGCATGAAACTAGGTTGGCACTGATTTCTGTTTGCTTCTCATCACGTACAAGTGCCATTGATTTATTCAAAGGGAGGAGTAATTGTAAACGCTTCGGGTTGCCCTCCTTGGCCAGAATGCTCGTTGACTGTGAGGTACTGTGTTTTGGTTTGCCTTGAAGTGTTGCGTCTGTTTGAGTGTGAGTTCCCAAGATGTATGGTGGGCTGGGCTTTTTAGAAGCAATTCGCTTGGGGCAGTTCGCCTGATTTTTAGACCGGTTTCTAGGGTGGATTTGACCGGTTTCTGGTGCAGATTTCTGAGACGGAATTTGGCCGGTTCTGCTGGAGGTTGGACAAGCTTCCACTGGGGAATTTGACCGGCTCTCGAAGGAATGAGGAGGAGTTGGACTGGAATTTGACTGGTTTGTGATTTGAACGGGATTTGACCAGCTTCCAGGAACGATTTGACCATGAAACTTGACCTGGATTTCAAAAAATTGGCTGGCCATGATTTTGGGCTACTGAAGGATCTGGCTTCAGGGACTTACTTCAGAGGGGTTGGAGCACGACAACGGAGACCCAAACTACCCTCAATGGCATGTTGCCCGGACATGCCAACATGGCGAGCATCCCAATGTTTGCAAGCAATTCGAGGGTCCAGGTCCGACTCAACTGAGGCCTGGTCGATTCCGCAGGAGGAGTTCTGGACGGCCGTCCTTTCCGTGAAGGCCGTTCTTGCGGATCGCGGCGTGTGAGCCCTGTCGGCCAGAGGGCACGCAAAATGTGCCACCCAAACCCGACATAGATCCGTAGCTGATAGTTGGTACCCATGGTAACCACCAAGGCCATGGTTTGTGTCCGGCCTGGGTTTTATCCAGGGCTGACCGCTTAAGTTCCGGACCACCGAAGTAGATGCTACTGTGATATCACGTTTCTATTTTGATTTTGACTCAAATGGGGATGGCGTTAAAAGGGGCTTCCCCAAAAAGGATGGATTTCCTGTTTCCTTTTTCGGCCAGCCCCAAATTCGCGTGAGCAAGAAGAAAATCACAAGCAACCGAGGGAAACTGCGCCTTGCGTGCGCACGGTTGTTTCACGGTGCTTCCTGGGCCGATTTGCTCTTTGGCGTTGAGCCTGTGTGTAAAGTTTACCCCTGCGCGCTCAAGTTTAAACGCCCAGATTGCATGGGTGCGGTTCAAAAACAGTCCATGGCCTGCGCTGGTTTGATTTGGATGACCTTGAGCAGGAAGATTCGGGGCTCGCATTATTATTTTTGCCGATAGGCAAGCGGCAAGCAAGGCAATATGCAAAGTAATTCACCTGTCCAAACTGCCAAATCAACCTCGAACGTCGGGGATTCGTAAAATGTCGCACCCCGACCTAGTTGGTCTCCTTTGGCCCCTGTTTTGTAGCGCACAGAGTTTGGCCGCAAGTGGCTGTCTCCCTGTGGTAGAAAATAATGCATGCGACTCTCCTACCAATCTGTCCAACAGATTCTGAAAGCTTGATATGTGCCCTTCTGTGCGATACTCTTTCGGGTACGTCGGTATTGGACAAAACACAAAATCAATGTTGCAAGGTGCGGTGAAAGACACACACACACAACGCGCTGTAATTCCGCAAGCTGCAGGTTGTATAGCTTCCAACTGGCTGTCTCCACACCGCTGGCCTTTGAGGGGGAAGCGTTGAAGGGTAAATCCACGTTTCGAGTTGCTTCTTATCGATGTCACATGGCATTAGGCTGCCCACCTCTCTTTAACGGTGTTGATGCGCCCTTCAAGCAAGCTCCTCCCGGTTTACTTTCAGAAGAGAACAGCCGTGATTCTCGAACAAGTTTTGCCAGACCCTGCATTGGCAATGGGAGTGGCGTGTCCTACGGTTCCTTGGTTGACCTTTGATGCGATGTGGCAGCTTTGAACTTTGAGCACCTGGTGACCCTTGGAGAGTGATATCCCATTGTCAGGTCCAGCTCCATGAAAGCTGGCAACAGGAATCTGTAAGACCAGCGTGCCTCAAAAGTTGGCACTACTGCATATGCGTGGAGTCTCCCCAACGGAGAAGAGGATACCTTTAGACTCGGGGAATAATTTGTTCAAACGAAAAGCTTCAAAAGGAAACCACAAGGCCATGGGTAATTATTGACTTGTTCATGATCAACAAAATTTGACATGACTTTTGGATAAAGTAGAGGAACCTTTGGATAAAGTAGAGGAACCAACCAGCTCCAAATTTCGTTTTTCGGGCAAGTCTTGACGGCCGGGCGCTCTCAACCTTCGCGGCAGGTCACCCGCTCCATGATGCTCGAGACGGCGTAAAAGGGGGCGAAAAGCGAGGGGCAGGGCTGTTTGGCTAGTTGGCGAGGCAAAAGATCCCGCCAGTTTCATGGAAGCTGACAGACGGGGTTAGGACTGCTTTCTTGTTGGGGAGGCCACTCCTCCACTTAAATCATTGAGCGGAGGGAAACTGCTTACGACCATAGCCCCTCAAAAGAGCAGCACAAACTGCATTGAGATGTGTGGAAAGTGGCTCAAGCTTGATAATAATAAGCAACAGCCGAAGTCTATACAGCGGGAAGTATCCCAGCTGAAGTAAATCCACTGCCCTTCTTTCCGGTAGAACAACCGAGATATGGTATAGGCATCAGTCCACCTTTAAGACGTTTAGATGCGAGGGATTCATGACACGACTATGTCTTAAAGTAGGGAACCCCGAAAATTGTGGCTTCCACATTGTTTCCCGTTCAAACCAACCAGAAAAGGATATTCGTAAAGACGCACATACACGTACACACATTCATGTCATGTCCCACGAGTCGTTGAACATTTAGCGCGGGCCCGTTAGTGCCGCACGGTCCCAAACGCGAGTAAAAACCATGCCCATTCGGGGAGGAGGTACGTACGGTTCCACTGGTAGGGAGGGATTTCGTAAGGCCTCTAAACTAGGTTTGCTCCACAGCCATCTTGGTATAGAGCCAATAGCTAGCTCGAGCTTCAGCCAGGTGACTTTGAGGGATTCTCCGGTTTGCAACACCCAGCTGCTTGATCCAGGGCTTTAACAGGTTGGAACAGCCTTTTGCAAGGGGCATTTGTCCATTGACGCTTCACATCAGGGGAAGTAGCAACGAGAAGATGTTGACGCCATTTGCTCGACAGGAGGTCGCACGCAGCATCTGCTTCACGAAAGCACAGCTTCAAGAAAGAGCCCACGTTTGCATGCGCCAGGTTTTTTCAGCACAGTTCAGGTTCAGGATGTTCAAGGATAAGGCGTTCTCACCGTGAAAAATATGCGAAGGCTATGGCTTGTGTGCCTGCTGCGAGCACTGGCAAAAAGGGCAGAGTTAGACTTGGAAGTGGATGCCAGCGCTTCCAATTGCAGGCAAGGTCAAATATTTGGAGACGGAGTTAAGAAGGCGAGCAGCGACCCGCAGCTTCATTACGTCAAGTCGTTGTCTTGGTCACCGGACGGCCAACTCATAGCTGCGTCCAACAAGGTAGAAATCATCATCTGGAGGGTGGCAAAGGGCCAATGGCAGGTGCATCAATTGCTTGCCGTGGAGGGGGTCAGGAATGTGCGCTGGTCGCCAGAGGGAAGACGCTTGGCAGCAGCCTGTTCTGATGGAGCACTGCGGATCTGGTCGTACACTAATGGCACAAATGGCACCTTGAAGTTGCAACATGAGCTCTTTAGTTCTGCGGACAAAATTCAACCTCAGATGAGGGATGTTGCATGGTCGCCCTCCGGGGAGCACCTGGTGACCGCCGTGAGATATAGCGGCTTGTGCCTGTGGCAGGCAAGCACCGGGCGAATTGAGCAAGAGCTTTTCCTGCACTGTGAAGGCGAGTACAACAGCGTGTCCTGGTCAGGCGAGCGCGTGGCTAGTGCTTGCAGCACCGAGGGCCTGACCATCTGGGTCAACAAGTCTGGGCACTTCGAGCTGGACAATACGTTGGGACATTCAAACACGAGCCTACACATAGAGCAAGTGGCATGGTCGCATGATGGAGCGTCTGTGGCCTCTGGTGGCAGAGATAGCTGGATTCGCATCTGGGATTACAAAACGCCTGAGCGCAAAATACAACACAACGGCCCTGTTTCGAGCCTGGCCTGGTCGCCGGATGGGGCATTCCTCCTCTCGCTGGGGCCCAGCTCGATACGCATTCGGTGGGTGGAAACGGGGTCGCAAATTGAGCTGGAGTGTCGTCCCTGCCTCTCGGTGGCTTGGTCCCCAGATCAGCAGCATGTGGTCTCTGGTTTGAGGGATTCCAAAATTCAGATCTGGCACGCGAGCTTCCTGACGAAGGAGAGTTGGAGCTGGGTAACATGGCTGGTGTGACCTTCACTC